GAAAGCATTGCTCTGCAGTGCTCTGACATTGGCCTGTTTCTCTATGGAGGTGATCGCTGAATTACAATTAATTATAGAGGCAATCAGGATCAGAACAGTCTAGTATAAATTGGGCCCAGTTATCAAAGTAACATCCCCATTGACTTCAGAGCTGGGATCATATTAACCAAATCAAAGAGAGCACTTCCACAAAGGACTTGTTTTTCTAACATGCTCAGTGAACTCTCTTTTGTATATTCAGGTGCACATCTTCTCTTCTCAGCTGCCTTGTGCGACAAAGAACCTGGGTGCTTCCAAATGTCAGCAGAGAAGGAAAATTCTCACTGTGATACTTTGTCCCTCCAACATTTTGATTCCTAGTTAAACAAAGCAATTCAGCCTGCATCCCATTCTTACCAGCCTTGGAGATGCTCATGGCTGAGCTAGAACACTGCATTTTTAACTTCTGGAGCCAAGTGTAAAGATCTATTTGTGACAGCAATATAGTTTGCATGTAATTAGGAAAAAAATATTGCACAAAGAAGAAAAGGCTATTTTATAAGTATTTGCATGCAAATTCTAACATTTGAAAAAAATGAAATTAGTTGGGAAACATGAACACTTGCATCTAGTCACAGACAATAAGCGTGAGAAGGGGGATGCAAAAAAGTCTTCTCAAGCCTTATAGTCACCAAGTTTACTATTTCCCCTCCTTTGCCAGCAGCACATGATGAAAAAATACAGAGTAATGACCGAGGCAAATACAGAACACAGAGCACATAACTTTATCCTATGAGCTAATGCAATATTGCAATTTGTGTTACAATGCAAATCAAAAAATGGTAGTAACATGAGGTGCAGCTAACTTGCAATCAAGTAATCTTACTCAAGTAGAAACCCTTTTCTATCCTGTTCTGAACACATGCTAACATGACATCATAAAAATGATCAATGCCACTAAGAAGCAGTATCGATTCAGTACTAATGAACTTGACCCAGGTATTTTTTCTTATTAGTGTCATTTGAAACAGAAAATTTCAGGGAACATTTTTAGGTTGGTGCTTACTTTCAAGACATACAAGAAGTACATGGATGGTTTCAAAAGACAGGACACACTCAGGTGAATTAATTGGATTGTACATGTGCATCAAGACAGTATCAGCTCCAGGTACTGTTAAACAAAATGAAACAATGAGAAAGCAAATCAATTTTTCTCTGAGAGTAAAAAAAAAAAAGAATGAGGAATGAGAAAGATCTTGTTCCCTGAGGAAGCACATTTATAATTTTTATTATTCTTCTAAAGTATTCAGATGAACAGTGGGAAAACCTGAAGAATTATAACATCAGTATTTGGAGTGAAGGAATACATCAAGCAAGCTGAAAAGCCTTTGACATGGGAAGATGCTACTTCTGCTGAGTTTTCAGAAAATGTGATTAGAGCATGCCAATGGCCAAGAATGCAGATAATCATACTCCCTTAGCAGGTGCCAGAAAGTTCAGCCTCCTAAAGGCACGGAAGTCTGGACTCTGTGAAGGGCTGCAAGGATCCAAATTTGCTGTATAAACAGCAGCAGGCACAAATTTATAATTTGCTTTCTGGTCTTTGTGAATAAACTACTTATTGTGTTATTAAGAGACATACACTTAAAATTTTTTATGCTGAAACATTTTTTAATTTATGCATACAGCAAAAAACCAGCTCAATAGGGTCAAATACAGGTCAAATATTTTCATATGAAAAGTGCAGCACAATTTTAAAACACAAACAATATTTATTTCTTTGCAATGGGCAGTCGAGCCAAGATGCAATGATTTATTCATCAATCATTTCATGTCAATTAATATTAGCCACTAATATTTAATTAGGAGTTTAGATAAAATTGCTTTTTTGAGTTATTTCCTCCATCATCTAGAAAATTGTTAGACTTCCTCTTTTGAAAATATCAGCATTTTTGTACAAGAATAGAAATTATTACATTTGAATCTTAAACTGATCTCAGTTATCTGTTGCAAATATAGATTAAACTAATCTCAGACAACATTTGAGATGCACTGAATTTTCAGAGCACCACTGAATGAATACATTGTGTTCAAATTTTGCTTGAAGAGCAAGATTTCTGGAGAAGACACTTCTTAACATCCTTGTCTTTAAGACCTAAGTGTGATCAAGGATCTAGTAATGACAATGCTCTAGGAAACTGGTATCTCAGAGCTTCATGATCCACCTTAAGCAGAAAGGCTGCTAATGAACTTTCACTGAAAGGGTTGTCAGGCTCTGGAATGGGCTGCCCAGTGAGGTGGTAGCGTCCTCATCCCTGGAGGTATTTAAAAGGATAGATGAGGTGCTTAGGGACATGGTTTAGTGGTGGGATGGCAGGGTTAGGTTAAAGGTTGGACTCTATGATCTCAAAGGTCTTTTCCAACCTGAATCACCAAAGTGATTCTATGGTACATGAGTCTGCAAGACTGGCAAATATTCCAGGATCCTACTGAGGTTGCTAAAAAGTGTTCAAATGCTTTACTGGGCCACATATGGGGTCTTACTTGTCGATATACCTCATTTTCCCTTCCTTTGTAGATAAAAGCATGGAACAGGATGACAAGATTAACACAGCCAGAATAGAGGCTTAGAAAAAGTGTGAATGTGTGTGTGTTGGGGGGGGAGGGGGGCGGGGGCGGGGAGGAGTTCCTGGTACACAGCCTGTGCTTGTTAGCAGCCATCCAGAAGCACATACAACGATGTCTGCCTCTTAGGAGCAACACAGGCAACGGATAGGAGGTACCAGCAGATTAAGAGAAGAATGGAATACAGAACGGCAAACTGGGTAGCAAAGAGAGGCAGGCCTTGAGTTTATTCATCTTCCACATCTTGCTTTAGAGCAAGGATCTAGGCAGAGCCTGAAACAACTCTGCAGAAAGTGCGTACTTTGCAAACAGATCTGGTACCTCTGTTTTACATAAGCACTAAGAGGTATTTTAATTCCATTACAAATAAAACAATTAGGTCTTTGTTAAATTACTAAACTTGACTGCAAGTTAGTTAGACTGCCATGAAAGAAAACATGTTTGGTGAGGTGCTTATGCTGTTTTCAGTCACTTTACCCAGAATGGGTGAGTGAAAGCTCCAATGTTTTAGAAGAAACACTATTACTGATTAGTCTGCTTCAAATAATTACAGCAGAATGTGGCTCTATTTTAGCAACAACAAAGTAGATCAGATTTTTTTCCTTATAAAGGTGACCTGCAAGATGTTTTGATAGGCAGTAAAGGATTTTGATGTACTGCCTCAGAGCTTCACTCACACATGCAAGGAGAAATTAACACTGTTGACTATTACAGGAGAAACAGCACTTAAAATTTATTGGAACTGGCAGTTTACTGTGTTTGATGTCTATCAGAAACTTAACTGAAACTGGCAGTTTTCTGTTTGGTAACTGCCAGAAATGTTGAGAGCTACACTGACCCATTTACGCTCACAGCTGACTGCTCTTCTCCCAGTTGGGGTCGTACAACCTAAATGTTATAACCAGGCAGAAGAGAAAGGAACCACAAAGACTACAATACGATCTAGCAGAATTTATCGACCAAACGGTGAGGCACACTCATCATTAAACCTGGAAGGCAAACTGTAAAGTGAGCTTGTAATGAAGGCGGCACAGGTGGTCCCGACGGTAAGCGCTGTTCTGAGAGTGTTTACCTCAGAGCGCATCCGTACCCAGCGCCGCCCCGTCCTTGCCGCCCACACCCACCGCCTCCTGCCGGGCCCCCGCGGCCGCTTCCCAGGCTCGCAGCAGGACCGAGGCGCCCATCCCCTCACGGGAGCCCCTCAGCTGGAGGCGCGGGAAGCCGCCCTGCGAGCGCCCGGCTGGGCCGCCGCACTTCTCCTTCGCACCTGAGGCGAGCGGTGAGGAAGTGCCCTCCGCGGAGGCCTCCCCGCATTTACTTATCCCCGCCCGGTAGCGGCGCAGGGGTAACGGTGCCTCACAGCGGGGCGAGGTATCCCTCACCTCACCTCGCCCAGGTGCGACGTACCTGACGCAGGTGAGGCGTATCGTTTTAGATACAGTAAATTCACCTTTCCTTCCTCACAACCTGCCAACGCCGAAGCGCGAAGCCCCGCTCTGCCCCAGGTGACGCTGCAGCCGCCGCGGGACCCCGGCCACCAACC